TCCTCACTGGAGAATTTCTGGCAGTACTCTTCTGAAGAGCATGGCTTATTGTAACTTGGGAGAGGTTCCTGACTTTAGTCTATGGTGACCCCAGTCCATCCAAAACAGAACTTCTTGTAAAATGTACATCTAGACACAATTTTCTGCATGTCTAGACTTAGCTTTGCTTGGAATAGTATTTCTTTTTTCTCTAAGCTCCTGGGGATTTCATTCCTCTTCCAGAAAATTCCTGTTGAATGTTACATGAGTTATGTTTTCAATTGACACTAGACTAGTGTGGAAGTCTGCCAAGGTAATAGGAAATTATGCTTTTAGTCTAGTCTAAGACCAGCTGGCTTAAGTTTCCTCTCACAAATGTCTTCCAGTTGTAAGTTTATGGCTTATGTGCAACTCAGAATGCATGCTACAGTTTTCTTATATCTTACATAAGATACTGTACCCTATGTATAAAGAGGATGTAGCAGGTAATTAGTAATGATGTAATTGCTCTCCTTGTGGGTAGATAATTGTGGTTTATGAAGCTTATCTTACAAATATATACTTAAGAATTAACCAGTTTCAGAAAATGGCAAAATTATGAGCCCTTGGGGAGCTATTCCATGCTACCAGTAAGAACAAAATAATCCCTAGGGCAGGATCTGAGTTTCTACAAATGAATTTTACTGTTTAACGATGAGCTGTTATTAATGAGAACACTCACCCTCCAGATATTTCATTATTTTGGGAAAGAAGAAATGAAGGCCCTGTGTGAGAATTTTATTAGCATGTCTTCCTACTGACCATTTGGGATCAGTATGCAGTATGTCTGTTCAATGTATGGTTTCAAATTTTTATTATAGTTTCTAGAATCTTTCATTTATAATACTGGTTTCAGTCTGAGAAGGTTCACATCCTCATATATATCAAATCTTCTCTGCTTAGTTTCAGCACTCTTACTTTTTCTTGAACTCTGGATCCTATGCAGACAAGCCAGAACCCATATTGAACTTTCAACTTTAAAGATACTTCAGACTTGCAGAAGGAATTAGATCCCTTTACTGGAAAGATGCACACACCTGGACTTGGAGAAGCTAAGAATTAAGATAGGGAAGCTGTGTAAGCCGGATGGGTTCAGGTGAACTAGATGAGTTCAGATGAGCCAGATGGGTTAAAATGTTGCTCCACCACAGGATCAGTCAGCAACACCAGGCTCTCTTGGCATTGACCTTTACACTGACAATATGGCTGTCCTTTGCTTTATACTTCCAATCTCATGCAGATTTTGCATAGTACACTGTGAAGACATGTTTTTGCCAAGGTGCCTCCTGATTGGTTAATAAAAGAGCTGACTAGCCAATAGCCTGACAAGAAGAGATTAGGCAGTAGAGCCAGACTTGGAGGAAGCTGGGAAGAAGGTTGGCATCTCAGAGGTTGCAGCAAGATGCAGAGGAAGCAGGAGATGAGCATTCGGTACTGAGAAAAGGTAACACCACATGGCAGAGAGTAGTAGAACATAGATAAATTATGGCTTAGTTTAAGACTTAAAAGCTAGTTAGTAGCAAGCCTAAGCTACCAGCTGAGCACTTATAACTAATCTTAAGTCTCTGTGTGGTTATTGGGGAGCCAGTGGTCCTAACAAATAAACTCAGCCTACAGAGTTATCCCTATAACTATCAGAGAGAAATAATTCTATGAGTAGTATTTCCATTTTAGCTAACTTGTACTAGTACAAAACCACATTTCTGGATTTTGTAACCTCTGCATCAACACACAGATCTTTAATTATATTTAACTTTCAACTCTCCACAACAGTAAACTGATGCTTCTGCCCAATAAGGCAGGTGTCTCCTAAGTAAGCAAAACCATGCTAGTTCTCCTCCAGACAAGAAACACGAATCTTACCCATCTTCAGATGGTGTTTGTTCCTTGTAGCTGAATTACAGCCATACTTTGATATCCTGTAACTTATACTGTAAACTATAAAGTTAACTCCAATCACTGCATGTTCTATTAGATGGAAGAGAAAATAGAGAATTGAAGGAAAGCAGCAGTTAACAATCATACATAAGCATAGTCATATTGAAAAAACGAAGAAATACTAATAATGACAAATCTTCACTTCCAAAATTGACTATAATGTATTAGATGGTATTCTGAACTTCTTTTCCCTTCTTTCTACTGCACCTCGTCAGCAATGTTTCACAGAGCTGGTTGCTTCACATCCTGAAGTCTTGACTTAAATATCATCTTTTTTCTTCCTAAAGTAGATAACTTTACTTTTTTCTTAACATTCTGATGTTCTTCCTTTAAGATGTATATTTGTGTGTATGGTTTTTATTTGTTGCCTTAGAATAATATTTCAGTATTCTGAATTTTCAGATTCTTCTTCCTCAGGCAACTCTTTGTCTGTCTCTATTTCATGTGCTGTACCTACTGTCCCCAACTACCACCATGGTTCATCAGTCAAAGCTAAAAGACCCTACATCCCATCTCCTAAAGTCTAGGTGAACCATCAGACCAGTCTCTTGGAGTGTTGTAGGAGATTAAGCATTAGTAAGCCATCATGTATCTTTGTCCTAGGTTGCATTTACATTTCATGGCACCCTTTCATGCTTTACCACCATAGAGTAAATGATGACTTTAATAACTACCATGTTGGGTTATTAGGAATTTTGTTGAGAGAAATTCCAACTACGCATTTAGTATGTAATGGGGACACTATGGGAATAAAAATTTCCAAAGCATTTCTTCAATATATCCTTTTAAAACAGGATATATTGAATTAAATAATTTGTGTATGGGAGTGTTTGAAATCCCATGGGATTATGTATCATTCACAACATCATCTACTGAAAACCACACAGTCTGGTCTGTACTAAACATAAAGTCTGAATTAATAAGATCCAAATATCTTTTGCCAAATATTATGAACTTGGCTATTATGCCATTTCTTTTTTTTTTTCATCTAGTAAAAACAGCTCAGTGATTTTCAACTGACAAAAATAAAATATTCATATAAATTTTAAATCAAAATTAAAAACATAATATGAGAAGAACTTAAATTTTCCCCTAGTTGCAATAAATTCTCTTTTCTGGAACACTTTCAGCATCACATTATAGGGTATGGTCAACATTTTTTCAGTTGTAATAATTTGAATGTAATTGGCCCCCATAATCTCATAGGGCATAGCACTATTAGAAGGTGTGGTTTTGTTGGAGTGGGTATGGCTGTTACAAGCTTTTGTGGATCATGATGTAAAAGCAGATAGCAGTTGGTAATTCAGATGTCAACCCACCAGGTAAATAATTCTCTGGTGAAGGAAAACCCCATTCAGGCAAGGCTTATGGGACCACAGACTCTGGAAACTGATTACTTCTGTTGTAAATTCACATGTGCAGAGACAACAATGATATCTCACCAATACTTACACTATAATGTATAATCTCATGTGATGTGTACTTGTAATCTCATGATTATATCTCAATGTTATGGGCTCATATATCTGTGGATAGTTAGGAAGATGACTTCTCATTAACAGTATAATTTTTTTGAGAGTGTGAAGAAGGGAAGATGGTAGACTCAGGAATGATTCTGATGCCTTCAGTCAACACCATGGATGAGGAGGATGGACTGTGTAGAAGTGCCCATTATATCCACAAAGATATGCTCATGAAGGCCAGGGTTACAGTGGTTAAGAGCATGCTTGTTTGTGTCAGCAGTCTTTGCTCTTGAATCTGTGGGACTTTGGGCAAGTTTACCTGAGGGTCTCAAGTTCTTGTATTTAAAAGAGGAATCATAAGTTACTGGGGGACAGAACTAAACACATTTCCAAAGATGACTAATACAAAGCCTGGAATAAGTTGAGTACTCAATATGTGAGGGTTTGTTTGTGTTTGTTTTACTAATAATGCAAATAATAACAATGTGTGTGACTTTAGAATGGATTTTAAAAATTACTTTAACTGTTCTTAATATATAAGCAGTGGTACTGGCAAGTACAGAGAGCACTTATAGCCATGCAAATGCTCCAAAGCTAGGTAACTAGTGAGTTGATGTGAGCACCTTTGAACAAAGTGTAGATGGTAGAAGCTGGAGAGACTGTTCCCCAGCTGGAGATGCTTACTAGCATGCCAAAAATCAAGACCTTTCTGTTGTTTTATTGTTCAAAGCATTGAGAAATTTCTCAGTGTTTAAATATTGGAAGCTAAATTCAACTTAACAAAGAAATATAACATAGGCCAGAACATGGCTGGTTAAGTTCTTAATGGTGACCTTTGTCACAAAGGGAGAAGAAGGCTGTGCAGCCCTACACAATACAGGTGCCAGAGCAGTGGACAGAGAAAGAGTAAAGATCAAAAAAGGCAGAGGATAGAAAAGGCAAGTTGAGGGAAGGGAGGAGGAGAGAGAGGGGGAGAGGAGAGAAGAGGAGGAGAGAGAAGGAAAGGGAAGGAGAAATAAGAGAAGGGAGGGAGTAAGAAAGGGGAAGGGGAGGGAAGGGAGGAAAGGAAAATGAGAAGGGAAAAGAGGGGAGAGAAAAAAGGAAAGAGAAGAAGGGAAGGAAAGGGAAGGGAAGGAAAGGGAAGGGAAAGGAAGGGAAGGGGAGACCAAAGAAGCTGATACTAAAGAGCACTTAGGGAATAGAGAGTCATAAATATCATCAAGGTGGCACCAAAACTCCTGTGGCCATACTTTGTGACAAAAGCCACTCATACTGGTGACCTCCTTTGAGACAGCAAGTAATTACTACCAGGCAGAGGGGACCTAATTCTCAGATCATCCAGGGTTAGATACAAAAATGAAAAGCCCATGTGAAAGAAAGTCCATATGTCCTTGAAAGGACTATGCATAGGCAGATCCCTTGAGCTGTAAGCAGGGACACTGATTTCCAGTTCAACCATCCCCTGGGCAGAGCCAGGGAGGGAGTCAGAAAGTTTGTCCCATCCCCCATGCTTATGAGGAATTAGCTAACCAGGACATGTTGAAAAAAAAACACAAAGAAAAACAACACTCTAACCACAAGTAGATTCTAAGGTCTTTTATTCTATCCATGTAAATACAAACAGTATTATTTTACATATTGCTAACATTAATATTTATACTCCCTGAGAGCCAGGAATATACTGAATACAAAATTATGGCTTAAAACCAGGAAACCACCTGATAAACTTAAGTACATATTATGATTGACATTCCAAAACTGGCTTAATACAGTGTGTAGTTAAGCCATATCTTAAAAATAAAGGATTTTTTTTACCTTTACAAAAACAAAACAAAACAAAAAAACTGTACTCCCTATATCATCTCATCTTGTGAACTGAAAGTCATTAGATAACAGTGGGTAACTACTCTGGAAGGAGTTACCAAGAAGCTTAAGGGGGGACGTGTAGTTTGTAAAGGGTAGACAAAAGAACAAAAAACAAACCAAAAATTTAAAAAGCAGCTTCCAACAATCAAAAGAGAAAATTACTCAGCACAGAAACATTTAACATGTGGGATCTTTGGCTAATGCTACAAACATAATATTCTAAACTGTTAGACATTTCATGTTTTTGTCATGTTACTGGAGAAAAGCAGAATGCAGAAATAGAATATCATTTGTCCAAAGTCACTTGTTTAGTGACTGAGTCAAATTTAGATTTCCTGACTCCTAATTTCTCCCCCAGTTCTCATTTCCTGAATCTCTACTTTGCATAGAGTACAGGGTTAATTATTCCTTTGAAGGAATTAATAAGGAAACTGAGACCCAGATCACAGATGGAAGCAGGTAGGGGGTTAAGGTTGGCACAGAGCAGCAGTATCCCAGAGTGGCTAACAGAGGCCAGCACAGAGCAGGTCAGGCGTGCTCCAGGGGAGTGAGGGTCCAGAGCAGAGACCATGGCACTCAAGACAACAGCCAATACAACAGTGATGCTTAGTCGAGGTCTGTGCATTGCACGTCCATAAAAAGAAAAATTACAGACATAAATCACAAACGTAAAAAAACAAAACATGCATTTTCTTAAATATTAACCTGTAGTTATAAACAATTGCTTTTTCAGCTGTCACTTATTAGGTAGCAACAAGTTTACAAAACATAGTCAATAACCAAAACTGAATACACACATACACACACACACACACACACACACACACACACACACACACACACAAATCTCCTGAGTCACCAGGACAAAGATCAGAACATTTTACCCTGAGTAATTCATGTAACACATTCAGCCCAATGTGAGGCCCACAGTGGGCTTTCCAGTAGTAACCCCTGTGGTTATCTCATGCTCACATTCTTTTAGGTAGCATTTTTATTCAGTTTCTTTTCATAACAGATTGGAACAGACTGAGACTATAGCTTTAGATAGATGCCTAAGAAAAACATAAAATTATCAGACAAAAAATCCAAATATAACTGAGCTCACTTAGTACAAGGATTAATAGACTTCAAACTTCCTGGAGGTTCAAGAGATAACCACTGTATTGTAGCACAATGTAACCCTTACGAGGAAACAGAGACATCTACAAAGATTTTGTGATGCATTATATCTTCTATTGAAAAATGACCAGAATATACTGCAATGTCAAAAATTATCAAAAATTTACATAAAAGTTTGGGAAGAGAGAACCTACACACCAGTCCTCAGATTGTGGGAATCCTGAGAAATCCAATTCACTATTATCCCCTATAATAAAAATAACTTTCAGAGTAAACTATCTCTCACACCCTGTATAAGAAACAAAGCTCTATTGGTTTTCTTTACATCACTGATGTGGTTTTTTTGGGTGGTATCATAGCCCCAGGATAGCTCTTTGAAGGGAGTTTTCTATTATGTGTGTCTGGAAGCCAGGAAAGAAGAGCAATAACAGAAGTAAACCCAGAGTATACCGTGTCATTTAAATTGTGTCCTCAAGTCCTAGTTTCCATAGGGCAATCTTTCTTTTGATCTCCCATGAAATGAGAGAGGGCAACATGTAAACATGGATCACATTCACCTTGGAGAGGGCACTTCAGCTCCTACTGGTTGAAGGACACCACCCTTTCCAGACTCATAGCCCCATTCCTTGCTCTTTCTTTGGACAATGCCAGAAGTCTAGAAAATCATAACCAAGTGCTGTTTTCAGTGACAGAAGTTTATTACAATAATCTTCTGAGTAACAGAAACAATGTGTATTGTAGAGACATTTATTATCTCATTCCCAGAAGGTCTCTTAGAAGGCTCAAGGCAATCATGGGATTGAGAGGTCAATTGGCAAGTTTTAAACAGGTTTTAAATATCCCTGAGTGAGAAAGTTGAGTAGAATCTGCATTTCGTCACATCTCCTAGAGTTGAGCTGGACAGACTCATCTCTCCCAAGAAAGAATCTGTGTTCTGTCCACCCTCGGAGTGGAATTCACAGTGGCATCTGGTTCACAGTGCTGCCATAGATCTTCAGTGTGCACAGAATCCACCCGGAGTTAGATGGACAACAATCAATTCTCCATCATTTATCTGCAGGTGTTCACAGGAAGTATCAGGAGCATTTACAGTCAAGTAAACTATATCTTTGAAGGCCAAAGAAGCTACCATAGTGAAGTCCACCCTTTGACCATTGTTCAGCATGGGCATAGAGATGGGACTTCGACCCTTCCGGAAATGAAGGTTGATCTTGACCTCCTGGAAAAAGGAGCCCTTCATGTAGATGAGATAAAGCCCATCACAGGTGATGGCAATTGAGTTGTTCTTCACCTCCATGGTTTGATACTCATTCCTGGGTAGGCTGAAGAATAGTCTCCCATTCTCACATCCTAAAAGGAATTGAAAACAAGATAAAATATAAGACAAGCAAAATATGAGACAAGAATCTTCCAGAAAAACTAATAGGGAAGGAGATTTTGGAAAGAAAGCAAGGGAGCACTGTACTGTACCAATATCTGGAACCTGCTATACCTGTGGAAAGAGCGGAGAGGTCACAGCCATTGTCACCTCAGACATGTGGCAGGAAAGACAGGTACCTTTATTTTCCAGTCCAGTGGATAGACTACAGCAAAGGTTAGAAGTGGTGGGGCAACAGGACCTTCATTGCCTTGGTCCTGTCAGCCCTTATTAGCTTGACTCAGAGCAACTGCACTTAACCATTCCTGCACCTTCCTACCAGACCATGAAAGACAAATTTCTCCCATGCCCCCTCCCCACTGGAATCAGACTCACTGACAGCAATACTGGTGGTCTTTGCCTGCAGTCAAGTAAGCTTAGTGATGGAGCCTAGCACAGGGTGCTGATGGGATGAAAATGGGCTCAGTCCCATGAAGCAGGGATAGACAGCCCAGGAACACAGCGGTGTTTCTTGCTTCTTCCTTCTACCTCTTATAACTAGCATTTCCTGGAAGGTAGCTTGGGAAGAGTCACTGCCACCGACAAAGGAGGAAGAAGAGGAGGAGGAGGAGAAGAAGGAGGCAGAGAAGGGGGAGGAGGGAGAACAGGACAAGCAGCATCTTTGGTAACTTTGTTCTGGGCCTTTCCAGAAGCAAACCCCAAAGCCTAAGTTTCTTGCCGTTCTGCATCAGCCTGAATATCATCTTGAAGGGCAGAGCAACACCTACTCTGGCCCGTGCTCCTTGGTGATAGGAAATAACAGGTCCCCACTGCTGCCCCCAGTTCAATAATTCTTACTTTGTGCCAGACCTGGGAGCTAAACTTTGAATCGAAAATAAGAATGACTTATTAAGGCAAAATGTACTTCCCGTTCAGCTCAGCTAACTTAATAAATACTCTAAAACTCATATAGAAACTTCCAGTGGTTGGCAGTGATCAAGGACCCAAGTGATACTCTCTTGATCAAAGCATCAGTTTTTCTTCATACAGAGCCTCCCCCAACTCTCATTCAGGTATTATCATGTTACAGTGTAGAACTGGCAGGTGTCTTACAGCCTTAGAACACTTAGATGAAAACAAAGTGAAATCCCTACCCTAAGTCATTTTGGGGAGGATTGAGAAAGACTCGTTAAGCACAGAGACAAGAACTGCTTTGGTTACTAAGCCCTTTTTTTCCTGAAAAAAGTAATATTCAGACTCCAACAATTTGGGGGTGTGACACTTGCCTAATGGAAATGACAGAGCCTGTGTTCTAGGAAAATTAAGATACCACAGAAAAGATCCTATTTAAAGCATGGGTACAAGATTTTGCAGATGACTCCGTCAGTAAGATGAAAACCTGAGTTCAGTTCATCTCTCTCTCTCTCTCTCTCTCTCTCACACACACACACACACACACACACACACACACACACACACACACACACAAACACAAGAAATAAAGAAAAGAAAAAGAAAAATTCCAGGCACAGTGATGACTACAATCACAGCTCTGAGGAAGCAGAGGCAGGTGGATCCCTGAAGCTTGCTGGCCAGCCTGCTGTTTGGCTGAATCAGTAAGTTCCAGATTCAGTGAGAGACTTTGTCTCAAAATAGAAGCTGAAGAGCAAACAAGAAAGACACCCAGTACCAACCTCCACCCCCACATACACATCACATACACAGGCACCAAACACAGACACACATGAGCCACACCAATACATAAAAGAGCTACATAAAGATAATTTTTTGAATACTTACTGGTAACTTGTGCTCGGAGACTTTGGATTGGAGGATGCTTCACCTAAAAGGGGGGGAAAGATGGATATTTACAAAAAGAAAGGTGAAATGGATACAGTAGCCCACAGGAAAAACCCTCTACAAAAGACAGCTGCATTTTCTTTGAGAATCTGACCCAGACTTGCTACACATCTTTGCTTTTCTACTGTATAACATGTCTTCTGATAGGGAAAGGTACTTCTGCTCTATCATGCAAGTATCTGAAATCTGTCTTCATTCCACCAAACTCTTCTTTGGCGTACTAGGTTGATTCATTCACAGGGCCCCAATTCTCCATTTAAATAGTAGCACTCATTAGAAAGTCCCTCGTGGGCCCAGACTCCCAGAACACTGTAGGAGAAAGTTGCAGAAGCTTCTTGTGTGCACTCTCTTCCACAGGTGTAAACATGTCCTGTTTCTAAGAGGCTAAACAACCTGCTCTAACCCTTCAAAGCACAATATGTTTGCATGTAGATAGCTTGTTTTTAGTGTGTGTGTGTGTGTGTGTGTGTGTGTGTGTGTGTAGAAGTCAGAAGCCAACTTCAGGAGTCAATCTCTCATTCTATCGTGTGAGTTTGGCATATCAATTTCAAGGCCTTAGGCTCAGTAGCAAACACCAAGAACCCACTGAGCCACTTCCTGGACCTTTTAAAAAGATGTAGTTTCTCATTAATTAGTCTTATGTAGTGTGTGTGTGTGTGTGTGTGTGTGTGTGTGTGTGTGTGTGTGTGTGTGTGTGTGGGGGCGTTGTAGAATTATTTCTTTCCTTCCTCCTTTACATAGTTTCAGGGGATCAAACTCAGGTTGTCAGGTTGGGACCAGGCATTTATCCAATGAGTCATCCCACCAGCCAATTCTAAAGCCTTGGACCTTTCCCTTCTCTTCAACAGCTTGAAAAGCCTAACACGAGCCAAGTCAGCATATGAGAGCAAGAAGTAAATCAGTAAGGAGAAGAAGCTTGACGATAAAAATGCACAGGACTCAGTAGCCAAAAAGACAAAGAAACTAAAAAATGGAGCAAAGTCAAAGATCTATGAAGTGAAAATAACAAGGACAGAACCATATGTAAAGAATATTCATGTCCCTAAAAAACCAGAAACATTCCTGTACACGCTGAGTAAACCACAAAGAATGCACCAAGAAGCCAGGTACAAAGGTTGTCTCTGGGAAAAATGATTTGAAGCCTGAGGTCAGGAATAGTAGGGACCCTTTCTACTACATGGTGTATTCCCTACTAACAAAGAAAATAGAAAGAAAAAACTGCCCATGGCTCCTGCCAAGAACAACAGCCACAAGGTTATTTTTGGCAGAATGTCCTATCGGAGGCATGGGAGAAATTTGTTTTCATGCCCTGAGCAGTGGAATCCCTACTTCCCACTCTCCTGGCAGACTATTAGCTTCAGTCAAGAGGATTCCACTGGGGACTCCCTCAAACAGATGAGGAATCCCCTACTTCTCTTTTAAATGTAATCATGGATCTCTGTGAGCTAAGATCAATGGACTGTGTAGGGAGGAGGAAGGGCTTTCCCAAGCCCTGCCAGTCCCTGGGCTAAAGAACAGCAGTGATGCAATGTGGTAAGCATGTGGAGAGTGTTGACTTGGATAGGAATGTGAGTCTTGCCTCCCACCCCTTGCCTACTGCTTCTGTGTGCTTTATGACATGTTCTAGAAGACCTCCAAAAGACCCATTACCCTCACCACCATAATTCCCTAGACAAATAATGTGCTCTGGGACTGGTTGGTACCAGTACCCATTGTCAGAAGCAGTCTATGTAGTGGCACAGGGCTTAGTACAACACGCAGTTCCTGGGTTTTGATACCAGACAAGCAAGTACTGGGTAGTCTTAGATTAAGTATCACAAGCTCCCTAGGAATCAGATTGTCATCTTTAAAAATCACTACAACACAATGCGCATCCATTTCAGCACACACACACACAGACACACACACACACACACACACACACACACACAAGTTCAAGGTGATGGTACACACCTTTAATGCCCGCACAGGAGGCAGAGGTAGATGGATCTTATCCTGGTCCACATATCAAGTTCCAGGTCAGCCAGAACTACCTGGTAAGACTGTGTCTCAAAACACAAAAGCAAAACAAAAGTGGCAACTCCGAGCTAATGAGTTACCTGCAAATGAAAAGAACAAGAAATTTCCCAATTCACAAATTGACTTCAAATTCTCTGATATCAAGGCCCTTGTGAGTTTATTTCTTCCTTTGCTTTTCCTTTCCTTTTTTTTTTTTTTTTTTTGGTGTGTGTGTGTGTGTGTGTGTGGGTGTGTGTGTGTGTGTGTGTGCAGTTTTACACAGTGCTGGGGATTGAACCCAGGGCCTTTTGCATTCTAGGAAATTGTTTCACCAGCCCTTCTAACCTTTCTAATACCTTTTTGGTTTGTAACATTATCTTGTCAACTTTGAACTCATTAGGTAGGTGTGTGGTTTAATTATTTTGTCTGACTTTGCAAAAGACTCTAAAGGGTTCCTCTATATGTGTGTGTGTGTGTGTGTGTGTGTGTGTGTGTGTGTGTGTGTAGATTTCTATCTTTTTGTTGCCTTGATGTTGTAGAGGTAGCAATAACCAAAGGGGAATCTTCTGGGACTGAGATATTAAGAGGCAGCCAGGAAAGCCACACGTGACTTCCTCCACTGATATTATCTACTGCAACCCCAACATCCTGTTCCTTCTCCCAAAGGTCACATAGAGTGAAACTTTGCATATACTCAGAAGTCTCTTAGAAACAACAATTCAGTGAATTCAGGTAATTTTATGAAGTGGAAAAAGGTGATCCTTCCTGCTCCCAGAGCTTTCTGTTCTCATTCTGCACACCTGCCCAACAGCCCAGAGATAGTCACCCCTACCCTATCCAGAGACATTCCCACACTTCTCAGAGACACTTTTACAATATCCAGAGACATTCCCACACTGGGAGACAGTCACTCCTACCCTGCTCAGAGACATTCCCACACTTCTCAGAGACACTCCTACAATACCCAGAGACACTCCCACACTGCCCAGAGATGTCCTACACAGTTCAGAGACATCCCCATAGTCCCAAAGCCAATGTCATGCTTGGCCTAGCTGCAACCTCATTCTCAAGTTTCTTGCATCTTATGACTAATCAATCTTTTCTTTAATCCTCTTCCCCTTAGATGAAGAACCAGATAGGACAAGACAAAGAGCAGGTTGGTTGGCCTCAGATTTGGTTCAAATTGTGGCTTTTCCAGCTTCACAAATTTGGAAAAGTCATAAACCATTTCTCAACTTTCATACAGATGACTATAAGGTTTCACACTGCAACTGGAATGCCCCACGAACTAACAATGTAGTTTAAGGAAAATAATGTTAACCACCCAGCAGTTTGGCTGACACAAATGCTTCTCTATTTCCAGATTGTCTACCTATCTGCTTCTGCCCATCAGAATCACAACCCAGGCCCAAATCAAATCCTTGATGCTTGACAGCTATATCCCCATACCAAATATTTTAAGACACGTTATTCATACTTTGAGGCGTGACTGGGCACACTATCTTACTGACTATGTTTTTTTTTTTTCTACTTGCTTGTGGTTTAAAATAGAAAATCCTTGTCAATATGATCTCTGTTTTTCACTACTCAAAGCACCAAACTCCAAATCGCTGTAAACACTTTCATCCCTTCTGTTCTCTGAATAACCAACATTATTCTTCTCAAACAATTGCCTACGCTGCAGTCATAACCACCAATACTTGAATGCAACCAAAAGTTCTGGAGAAGATAAAATTATGAAGCAGCCACAAGGCAACCATTGTTTTCAGCACTAACAGGAAGTGAAAATCTGTGAAGAAAACTACACTTTGTAATTTGTGTAAAAGAATCATCAAAGAAGGCTATACTTTGTGTGATTCCAGTTGTAAAACATTCTGGTTGAAGCAAATCTATTGAGACTAAAAGATCTGGGGATGCCTGGAGTCAGGAACTAGGGGCCTAGGGAGCGCTGAGTAGGGGCAATACAGGAAATGTTTGGGGATAGTGAAGCCATAATGGGGGATATATGTCATTAGCCAAATCATAGAATATAGAAAGAACAATACCAAAAGTGAACCCTAAAATCAATCTTGACTGATAATACCTTCAAAAACTATGTTTCATCTCCCCTACTTAGAATATTTTAATGTGACCTTTAGAAAATTGCTTTTAGCTTGCTGATGTTCAGTTTCTTACTTGTGAAGTGGGAATAGAAAATGTTTATTGTCTCAGAGGGCTAGTGTTAGGTTGAATGAGATAATGTGTGTGACTGGTCATCACTTGACATGAAATATTTAAGAGGTCAACAAATATCTGCTATTGTTCTTTGATACACAAAAAAGGTCATTGTCATTTTGTGGTTTATTCTCCATAATATTGTTTGATATGTAAAAAATTAAAGATAAAATAAAACTGTCAGTCCTTGAACCAAGCTCTCTGGCTATCTGTAACCCAGGGAGGACCTGGGCCTCATGAGAAAGTATTCCAGAAGCAATCCAAAGACATCTACCCCCACATAATTAACAGCATATCTGAATACCAAGACAAGCAAAAAACCACAGAGCATTTCCAAACACCAAGGAAACTGGGAGATATGCTAGAGCCATGGGATTTTCACATAATCACAGCTTATAACTCAGAGTTTCCTTACTCTGCAAAGTGTGAAGATCTCTCATTATCCTCACAATTGACAATCAAACTCCAGAATCAACCACCACTGAGCACAGCCACAGCCTGGGGTTTAAATATAATTGCCTCAGAAGAAAAAAAAAGGTACAGAAGAAGCCATCGTTTCTTGAAGATAATGTCTCAGAGAAAAAAATTAAAGCCCATGGAAGTGAAGGGACTTGACTCCTGCTCCAAATCCTCTATAATTTTTATTATATTATCCAATAATTTTTCCTCTTCCCTTGTTTGGGTTGCTAGGGATTGAATCTAAGGTTTTGCCCATGTAAGGCAAGTAATCTACCACTGAGCCATAACCCCTGCTTGCTCTCTCTCTCTCTC